TCCAACCATATTGTCAGTTATTATTGTTATTTTCTGTCTTCTAAGTTATAACTGGGGAAAGTGTCTGTATCTCCCTTGAGTATTCTTTGCACATTTTGGACTTTGTATCATGATTCTTAGGAATTTATTTGTTGCTTGAAACATTTGAATCATCTTTGAAAGACATTAAATGACAAATTCATGTAATAATTGAAATAATTTTCTCACCCCACCACTCACTTCAGAAATTTAGTGATGGTGGGAGAAATACAGAATGCCCTGTGATAAATAATTTCTCTGTCTTTCTGAAGCCAATAAATCCATGTTTAATGTTCTGAAGCATTTCAAAAATTGTTCAAAATTCTCAGTGTCAACATTGGGACAAAAATATATTTATGTGTCAATTAAAGTTGAGCAGTTGAAAGCAACTAATTATAATTATTGTTTCTGTGGAAAGAAGATTGCCATTTTTGCAATGTCTGTACTATTTATTATGAAAACCTCAGTGAAACATAATTATTTAAACGAATATCTCTAGACTAGAAGGGTCTTTTGTGTGTTATTTTGGCTTTCTTAATGATTTTGACTCGCCATTTAATGTATATGTTTCTTTAATGTAGAAAAGAAAGAAAAATGAGGTCCCACTTCTCAAAACACGCATTTATCTTTCATGGTGTTTTAGAAATGTTTAAGCAAAGCTAGTTGTCTCATTAGGGACTCATTTTGGCTGCCAAGAGCAAGTGGTAAAGGGATAAAGCAGAAGAAGCCAGCCTGAAAATGCAAAGCATTAGTACAAGGCTGTCTAGACACCATTTTTTGTTTTCTAGTTTCATTTTCATACTTCTTATTTCTACTGTACTAAAGAACAAAAATTAAGAATGTATGATAGATTTGGAGATTCTTATTAATATTATTGGGTAGCTCCAGAACTCCTACTCACAATAAATTAATTTATTAATTCGTAAATGACTGACCAACCACACTCAGTGTGTAACCCTCAATGTAATTACATCTACATGGAGGGAAGTATGTAGTGGGGTATCCAAAGATATTGTTTTAAGGCTAATACTCTTCAACATCTTCATAATTGATCTAGAGGAGGGGATAGAAGAGGAACTCATCAAATTTGCAGATGACAGAAAGCTGGGGTGAATAGACAAAACTTTAGAAGATAGGATCTAGATCCAGAAGGATTTTGACAGACTTGAACAGTGGGCCCAATCCAACAAAATGCAATTCAGTGATGAAAAGGTAAGATTTTACATGTGGGCAAGAAAAACCAAATGCCCAGTTATAAAATAGGTGCCACCTGGCTTAACAACAGTAACTGTGAAGGGGAACTAGGAGTCCTAGTGGATAATCACTTAAATATGAGCCAGCAGTGTGCTGTGGCTATCAAAAAAGCCAATACAGTCCTAAGCTGCATTAACAGGGAAATAGTATCAGATCATGTGAAATGTTAGTACTGCTATATACCGCTTTAAGACCACATTTGGAATACTGCATCCAGTTTTGGTCATCTTGATACAAAATATATGTTGAAATTCCAGAAAGAATTCAAAGAGCAGCAAAGATGATTAGGGGGCTGGAGGCTAAAACATATGATGAACGGTTGCAGGAGCTAGGCATGTCTAGTCTAATGAAGAGAAGGACTAGGGGTGATATGATAGCAGTCTTCCAATATTTGAGGAATTATCATAGAGAAGAGGGGGGTCAATCTATTCTCCAAAGCACCTGAGAGCAGAACAAGAAGTGTCAGACTTATCAAAGGGAGGTCCAGAACTGAGAAAAAATTCCTGACAGAACAATTAACCAGTAGAAGGACTTGTCTTAGAAATTGTGGGTGTTCCATCACTGGAGGTTTTTAAGAAGAGATTGGACAGCCATTTGTATGAAATGTTGTAGGGTCAACTGCTCGAGCAGTGGGTTGGAATAGAAGACCCCTAAGGTCTGACATGGTTATCACATGAAATGTCATTAACACTAAGAGAATAAGTTAATTGTGCAAAGTGCTGATTCACTGAACTTTGGGCAGTAAATGCTATCATTTTTGGCATACAACTTTCTCAAAAGATTATTTTAAGTTAAACTGGCTCCTTGGATAGGCTTAAAAAAAGCAAAATATGTGCTTTTTATAATTTTAGCAAGAATTTTATATTTAAAAATAGGTTTAGAAGTGATTTCCTCTTTCCAGGTCAACCGGGAATGTATTGGATTAGTTGGAGGAAATGGCTAAGAAAATCGCTTACTCTATACAATATACTCTACCTTTGCTAATTCCATCCTTATTTGAAAGAGGTGGCAGCGCTGAAAGAGAGATAAAGGACAGGTTGATGCTGTAATAAAAACTCAAAAGAACTATTGCTTATTTCTGAGAATGAAGAGGGAAAGAATATCCTAGAGCAGGGGTCTCCAAACTCGGCAACTTGAAGACTTGTGGACTTCAACTCCCAGAATTCCTCAGCCAGCATAGAGGCAAACCTTAGGACCAGTGAAGAAAACCTCTCCTTTTTTTATTATCCTGAAGTGTTAGTAATTGCCAACGTTGTTGCTAAGAAAAAGGAATGTTGTCAGTCAGGAAGAGAAAGCAATACAGCTAGTCCTCAACTTATCGATTTTTTGTGCCATTCAAAATCATGACTGTGCTGGGCCATGGGACTTACAATCTGTGCCCAAAGTTACAGCCACTGTAGCACACTGAAGGTCACAGGAATAAAATTCAGGTGCTTGACAACCATCACCATGGCTTATCACCATAATTCCGGGCTCAATTCTGGCGGTACGTTGAAGACTATCTGCATTAAAAGAGCATGGCGCTACAGATCCAGCTGTTTTTGAAGAGGCTGTGTGGAAATTGAATTGAATTGAATTAATTGACTATTAATTGCTAAAGTATGGAAGAAATTGGAGCCTCAGATGTGAGTGCAGCATTAGGTTGCAGGTAAAATGCATAGAGCACATAGGAATATTTGTCAGTTGATTTACAGCATTTTTGATGGTTTTGACTTGTTTGAAAAGCCAATATTAATGCCCATAGCATCTTCAGAAACCATTGGCTAGTTGTGATTTTATGAAGAACGTGGATTTGAAAGACATTGCGCTAATCCTAGTAAAATTCCAGGACTCATTACATTTTTGAAATGGCAGTTCTTACTGAATATCTGAGGAAAATTAAATTTTAAGGCCAGCCAATGAAGATTTCAGATCTCAGTGAACAGTCTGAATGAACAAGAGTGGTTAGCCACAGGATTTGACAGCTTATGTCATTGTTCTTTATCAGTTCCTTTTCTTTTTCACGACAAGTGAATTTTTCCTTTGACTGTACTGTTCTCTTTATTCAGCACCATTTCTCCTCATCTTTTGTGTGTGTCTATGTGTGCCTGCCTTAGGGGAAGCATATGATTACACTGATCCTTTAATGCTGCTTTCCTTAAATTGATGCCCTCCAGAACCCATAATTTTCACCGAACATGTCCTTTGGAAAGTTAAAATGTTACATATTTGAAGAGCACCTGATTGAGGAAAGCTGGCTTAAAGGATTCTCCATGCAGTCCTTCCTTTAGACCCTCAGATAAGGCGAAGTGCCATTGCTTCCATATTGCTTTCATTATGGGTATTTTCACACTATTAACTGCTAATGTGCTCAAGCCGACTTCATATGCTGACACATCTTGGAAATTTACTAGACCGTGTAATCGGGTACAGAAGTGTAAACCATAAAAGAGCTAGATAAAATTTAATTTCATTAAATAATAAAGGATGAATTTCCTCTATAAATTCAAATAGTTAAGACCAAACAGTTTTAAACATAATTCTTTTGGTTAAGTTAAATTGAGCCAATACCTTTTTGTTCAGTCTAGCATCTAAGCAAGGCTTTTCTGGTGATCCTTTCAGGGGTGTCTTCCACTGCTTGACTGTCCCAGCATCACTGAAGCACTTTGAGCTGGTCCTTATTTACTGTAGATCTGTTGTCCAGTTTGCTGTTCCTCTTAAACTTTTTTCAGCAAAATCACTTCATAGAGATGTACTATTATACTTGGGCTATCCTGCAGTATTGAGTTTGTGTATGTGGTGTGTGTGTGTGTGTTCTGCTGTTTGGCAGACATCCCAAACAATGAGTTTGTAAAAGTTCAGCAACACAATTTCTGCTTATGATTATATTTAAGCTGCTCCATTTATAATACTTAAATGAAACCTTATTTTGTGTTCTCATTCTTCAGGTCTTTCATTCATATTCATTATTTCATCATATTGAAGTCCTCATTGTAATCTAGATTCTGTGAAAGCCTAGATTTATCATTCTCTTCTCTTCTCCTTCTCTTCTCTTCTCTTCTCTTCTCTTCTCTTCTCTTCTCTTCTCTTCTCTTCTCTTCTCTTCTCTTCTCTTCTCTTCTCTTCTCTTCTCTTCTCCTCTCCTCTCTCTCTCTCTCTCTCTCTCTCTCTTTCTCTCTCTCCATAAAAGATTGCAACATAGTCTTCATATCTGTGATTAAAATAATAAAAGCGAAGTTCTAAGTGCTTAACTAGTCAAAATTGTGAGGGTCAAAAAGTATTTTGTTACTTCCTGAGATCCAAGTTACATGAGCATCCATCTCAACATGTATTGTTTGTGTGGAAAATGTTCAATATGTGATAAATGCATGGGAAAAAGATGGAGAAATAAATAAATGTGACAATACTGTAAATGTAGTTCTATGGCTGCATAATGCTTGTACATGGAACATTGTGTATGACATGAAAGCTAGCTACAAATTAATATGCTTTATATATTACTCTACATATTACTCCCTGCCTCTTTTAATGTAGAGAATAGCTCACAGGGCCAAATAAACCTTTTTTTGGGTGGTGGAGTAAGGATGATTTAATCAGACACTTTTGAAATCAGAAACATAATCAGGCTGTTCAAACTATTCTAAAATATAATTAACATTCTAGCTTTAAAAGAGTTCAGGGGTGGTAAGAAATGTGTTAAATATCCAATTTTATTTGTGTTCCAAATGAGCTTTACTTCTTTCTTCCAGGCTGACAAGAAGGAAAGAGGGAATGCTTTGAACACAGCAATAGATAATATGTGCAAGAAAACAAGAGATCTCCGCAGACAGGTAATCTCCCCAGGGACAAAGCATGTTAGATTTATGCAATTAGGTAGAATTAATTCCACGGACGAGAGTATTAAACAATTACTCACAGTATTGGAAAAGAGTAGTGATAGTTAGGCAAAAGAGCTTCAAATTTAGATATCATTTCTGCAGATTGACTTCGTCAGGTGGACTAAGAACAAAGGGCAATCCCCAGGTATTAATTATTAACTTGGGTTTTTCGTTCTATGAAATTGGAAAATAGGTTACTACAACATGCTGCGCAACAATAATTTTTTTTTGAAAGAATGAAAAATATTTATTATAATTTTTTAAAAATGCTTATAATTCATTATATATTAGAACCCTTAAAGTTCTTGAACAATTAGTTTTCTTTAGCTAAAGTGGATTTGAAATATTAGATGTGGCTCTACATCTAATATGATGTGATATATTAGCATTCCATAGTGAGCATCCCTATAGCAAGATCCTATATAGAAGAGGCATCCTTAGCTGTAGCACCCTTAGAAAGCCAAATACTTGGCTTTTGCCACATGCAGGAAATTAAAATCGCATTCCGACTCATGGAATATCCTTTGAGAGTATCTTTTCCCTTTAACATCATTTTGAAAGCATTTTGTTGTTTCCTTTTAGTCTATTAGCATTTTCATATCTGCTGCTAAGAAGCAGGAAATGAATATTTCACAGTAAATAATTTAACCCAATTGCATTGGTAATAGCTTTATTTAAAGGTTGTTTTTCCTGATGCAACCACTCCATGCACCTTTTTTCATAAGTTGTATATTGCAAATTATTACCTTGTCACGTACCAAACATCTAGCCTTTCAGCCTAGCAGCATCAAAACATACAATGAGATGATTTATGTGACTCCCACGGGTGGATTAACTTGCTGGGTTAACTTTCCAGCAGCTTTGATACAAAACAATGTGCAAATACCAAGACCTTTCTGTTGGGTTGATTTTCATTCTCAAGAACTAAGTAAACAGGGAATTGTTTGAGTGTGCTGGGATATTGTTTCGGGCTGGGCTGGCATCAAATAGAGATTTGCACAATATTTAACATCTGTGAGCACATGTTCATATATACGATGGAGAAACTCAACTATTATATTTGAACGAAACGCTCTGTCAAAAATTGCTGAATAATTCTGCCCTATCTCTAACAAACATTGTTCCCAGTTATGAGTGTCCATGTGAGGTCATAGTGAGTGGAATGGGAATCATACTTGTATGCAGTGGTGGGATTCAAATATGTGAACAACCGGTTCTCTGTGTGGATGCCACTTCTGGAAGTCTGGGCAACAAAAAATTAGCTACCAGTTCTGCCGAAGTGGTGCAAACCAGCTGAATCCCACCATTGCTTGTATGTGCATAAGCAGGATGTGGTGGGTTGTCCCTTCTGGCTACCTCAAATGAGGTTCCTTTGTCTTTCCTGTCACTCTTCTGGGAAACCTCCCAAAATCTGGAGGGAATTTGGTGGCAGTCTGATTACTGCCACCATCATTTTATTTACAGAGAAATTTCTTTGGCATCTTTATTTCATAGGAAGCACATGGGACTTTCTCCTTGTCCTTCTGTAGGTGACAAAGTGGACAGGATGGGTGGCAAACTAAATTCCATTTTTAGAATTATAGATTTCAAAGGAGGTTTAAAGGCTGTATTATGTAGATGTAGATTTGGCAAGCCCACTGAGAATAGAAGACAAAAAAGAAAAAGGAAATGTCATTTTTTAGGACTTCACTTAGTTATCTCCGCTGGCATAAAACACACATACTGACCTAAGCACAATACAAATGAAACAAATTAGTACTAATGATATAAAAAGACAAAAAATATGTGTCTGTCCCTAATTTTCATCATCTCTACATCTTTGTGAAGGTGAATGTCTTACCTGATAAGAGTCATACACTGGAAAGATGCTACTTAATCAAGATGGGAAGCGAAATGGAAATATTTTTTTTTTCCTTTTAGGAAAGTTTTCCTCCAGAAATATTTTGGGAAGAAAAGACTCACATATGAACAAATATGGGCCCTGATTTCTTATTACACTAACAAATCTGAATCTGTTAACCAACTTCTAATCCTGGCGTATGAGGGGGAGACAATCAGCAGTCCTACTCTGGATATCAGTCTAATTTTTTCCACCTAATACATTTCTGATTACTTTAAGGTGTTATTGACTACAATAACTGAAAAACAGTTACACAGCATATACTAGTAAGATGATCATTTTCAATGAGCATTTTGGGAGAGTGAATCAAAAGACCAACATCCTATGAGGGAGCAAAGGATTTTAGAAATGAACCATTGGCTTAAAAATTGGTGTCATCAACAGAACTTTGGCTTCCTAGGCCATGATCTGCATTACTTACATGAAGGGCTACTGGCAAAGGATGGACTGCACCTCATAAGAACTGGAAACAATATATTCGGAAAATGACTGGCTCATCAAAAGGGCTTTAAACTAAAATTGAAGGAGGAGGGGGTCAATCTTCATGACATTTAGAACCTAATGCCAAGCAAAAACCACAAGATAACCAGTCATATACAGAGGTAGGGAGTAAAGAGAAAGAAGAAAGAAATAAAGAAAAATATAATGAAGTAGAGAGTGATGGGAAGGATGGAAACCCCAGTTACAAAGTAAGAAATATAAGAAACATATCCAAGACCAATAAAGGACTCAAATGCCTATACACTAACGCTCAAAGTTTAGGGAACAAACAGGGTGAACTTGTACTAGTACATGAAGGCAGCTATTATATAATTGCCATTACTCAAACTTAGTGGGATGAAACTCATGAATGTACCGGAATGTACTGATGGAAGGATACAAACTATTCAAAGGAAGCAGACCTAACAAAAGAGGAGGTGGAGTTGCATTATATAAAAAAAATCACTGCATCTCTACAGAAATCCACAAAACCAAGGATGAAAACCTCCTAGAATCGACATGGGTCAATATAAAAGGAAAAAAGAAAAGTGGGAGATTGAACAGATTCCTAACCAACTTAGCTGACAACTTTATCATCCAAAAGATATAGGAGGGAACTAGAGGAAAAGCTATATTGGACCTAATTCTTATTTACAGAGAAGAAATGATATAGGGAATTGACATTGCCGGAACCTTGGGCGAGAGTGACCACATCATAATGGAATTCAATATAATGCAAACACAAGCAATAGAAAATAATCCAACCAGTGTGTTAAACTTCAAAAGAGCTGATTTTAACAAACTCAGAGAGAGCTTAAGCAAAATTTCATAGATAAAAAATCCTAAAGGGGAAAACAAGTAGCATGGGAAACACTGAAAAATATGATCATAAAAGCCCAGTCCAACACAATACCACTGAAAAAAAATCAAGAAATCCAAGAAGAAACCAGAATCGTTGCACAAAAATCTCTCTGATAAACTGAAAGACAAAAAGGACAAGTACAAAAAATGGAAAGAAGGACACATAACTAAGGCAAAATATCAACAGATAGCCCGAATCTGCAAAGATGAAGCCAGGAAAGCAAAGTCAGACTTGTAACAAAAGTCAGATAATAAAAAACAAAGTTTCTTTCAACATATAAATAACAAGAAAAAAGTTAAGGAAACAGTTGGTCCACTTAAGAGAGAAGATGACAGGGAAGTAACAGGCAGTAGATAGAAAGCAGAGCTGCTTAATTCACTCTTTGCATCAGTCTTCATGCAAAAAGAAACTATAGCCCAACATACCAAAAACATAACTGTAAAAGACAGACTAGATATAGAAATTAAAATAAGTAAGAAAATGATAAGAGAATACTTGTCTGATATTGATGAATATAAATCACTGGGATGTGATGGATTACATACCAGAGTTCTAAAGGAACTGGCAGGTGTTCTCTCAGAACCATTGTACCATATCCTTAAAAAATCCTGGGGAACTAACAGAGGATTTGAAAAGAGCTGATGTGGTTCCCATCTTCAAAAAATGGGAAAAAAAAACAGACCCAGGAATGTACAGAACAACATCAATACCTGGGAAGATATTGGAAAAATAACTAGTAGTCAGCATGGGTTTGTTAAAAACATATCATCCCAAACCAATCTTATTTCATTCTTTGACAAACTGACTAAATTAGTACACCAGCGAAATGCTGTGGACATGGTATATTTGGACTTCAGCAAGGCATTCGACAAAGTAGACCCCAACCTTCTTCTTGGTAAACTAGAAAAATGTGGGATAAACAGTATCACCCCCAGATGGATTTGTAGCTGGCTGACAAATCATATTCAATGAGTTGTTGTTAATGGTGCTACATCTATTTGAGGGAAGTAAGCAGTGGGGTACCACAAGGTTCTGTCTTAGGCCCAATACTCTTCAATATCTTCATAAATGACCTAGATGAGGGAATAAAAGGGGAACTCATCAGATTTGCAGATGACACTAAGCTGGTAGGAACAGCCAATACCCCAGAAGACGAGCTCCAGATCTAAAAAGATCTTGACAGACTTGAACAACTGGGCATATCCAACAAAATGAAATTTAATGTGGAGAAAAGCAGGGCTTTACACTTAGGCAGGAAAAAACCAAAGGTACAGGTACAGATTAGGCGAGACCTGGCTCAAAAACTGTGAGAGGGACTTTAGATCCTAGTGGACGATCACTTAAACATGAGCCAGCATTGTGTGGCAACAGCCAAAAAAGCTAATACAATTCTTGGTTATATAAACTAGAGGCATAGAATCAAAATCATGTGAAGCATTAGTACTGTTTTATAAATCCTTAGTAAGACCACACCTGGAATACTGCATCCACTTTACACAAAAGCTGTTGAGACTTTTGAGCTGTTGAGATAAAAGGCCTGGAGACAAAAACATATGAAGAACGGTTGCAGGAATTAGGTATGTCCAGTCTAGAGAAAAGAAGGACTAGGGGTGATATGATAGCAATAGTCCAGTATTTGAAGAGCTACCATAAAGAAGAGAGGGTCAACTTATTTTCCAAAGCACCAGAAGGCAAGACAAGAAACAACGGATGGAAACTAATCAAGGAAAGAAGCAACCTGAAATTAAGGAGAAACTTCCTAACAGCGAGGGCAATTAACCAGTGGAATAGCTTGCCTTCAGAAGTTGTGGGTGCTTCATCAACATAGGTTTTTTTTTTTTTTTTTTTTAAAAAGACTGGATAGCCATCTATCTGAAGGGTTATAGGATCTCCTGTTTGAGCATGGGGTTGGACTAGAAGACCTCTAAGGTCCCTTCCAGCTCTATTTTGATTAAGCGTGCTACAAAGTGGATAATAACTATTCAAAAAGAAATCTAGTGTACTTTACTTTCCATCTGATACTAGAGTTGATTCTTGGGGGGTGGGGTATAAAAGAAAAGTTTGAGGACTGTATACAGATAGTCTTCAACTTACAACAATTTGTTTAGTGACTGTTCAAAGTTACAATGGCACTGAAAAAAGTGACTTATTACCAATTTTCATACTTACGATCGTTGCAGTAACCCCTTGTTCATATGATCAAAATTCAGCCATTTGGCAACTGGCTCAATATTTAAGACAGTTGCAGTATCCCGAGATAATGTGATCAGCTTTTGCAACCTTCCGACAAGTGAAGTCAACGGGAAAGCCATATTCACTTAACTACCATGCTACTAACTTAACAACTACAGTGATATCACTTAACAAGTGTGGCAAGAAAGGTTGTAAAATAGAGCAAAATTCACTTCACAAATGTCTTACTTAGGAAGAGAAATTTGGGGGCTTAGTTGTGATCGTAAGCCGTACATGACTTGGGATGTACATTGTTCCTCCCTGACCTAAAACTGTTTGACAATAATTTGCTCCAGGGCATTAAAGGTTGCATTCATTGATAGAGTTTAGATTGCACTTAGCTGAAAATGCTAAAGAAATATGCAAAGATGGTTTTTATTGATAATGGCTTTATTTTTTTGCAGCTTCGCAAAGCAATAATTGATCATATCTCAGACTCCTTTATGGATACAACTGTGCCACTTCTAGTGCTCACTGAAGCTGCTAAAAGTGGGCACGAAAAAGAAATCAAAGAATATGCTGCAATATTTACAGAGCATGCACAGAGACTTATCGAGGTAAGGCTGGAAGAAATACCCTATAATAGATAGCATGCAATGGGCTAGGAATTATACATATATTTATGTTTTTTTTTTAAGCAGGATTTATTGGTTTACGTATTTGGTATGGAGTGATTTCAGTTTACCCAGAAATTGTTCTTGTTCTTGTTTTAGCATTCTGCTACTTTTGTTGTTGCTGCCATTTGAACCATATACTATAGTTGAGTTGTCATTGTGAGTTATTTACTACCTAAGGGCTGTGTAAGGACCCACCCCACTTTGCATCTTAAGAAGACAGAACTCTTGGAATAGCTCTTCCAACAGGAATCCTTTATTAAGAGAAAATGGTTGCAGGCATGCTAGACAGGACTTGGGGTTCAAGCTCTCCCATTCAAGGTTTTAAGGGGTTCCCCAGTAGTCCCACCCAATCAACCCCCCTTCCAGTGATAGTTTCAAGTATCACAATTCCATCCCCTTTCTTCTTCCGTCTGGATGGAGACTTCAGATAACTACATGAAAGGCAATTACTCTTCTTTGATATGTTAAAGCTTAGAGGCCACAATAAACACACATTCAGTCCTTTGAAGTGTGCTGAAGGAAGTGAGGGCCATAAAGCCCCTTTGCTCTCCCCCTTTTCTCCCTCTTATGGCAGAATCCAGAGAAGGCAGAATTGGGAGTTTCTATGTTTGATAATTAAAGATGAAATATAATTGGATTCTGACATCCGGCCCCTCTTAACAATAAGAGAGATCCACCTGAAGGAAAACACAAGTAAAGAATTTAGTTAGGCTTGTTAGGATACTCTGTGTGAAACTTCTTCAATAGCTTCGGAGCTCTGACGTGACGTTTATGGACCCACTCATTTTGTGAGGCAGGGAGGTGTTTCCAGGCAACTAGGTACTGAGTTGTTCCATGATATCTCCTAGAGTCAAGGATCTCTTTTATTTCGAAGTGTTGTTCCCCCTCCACCATGATTGGAGGTGGTGGGGGGGGGATTTTTGGCCGTAGAGGTGACTGATGCTCTCTTTTCAGCAAGCTGCAATGAAAAACTGGGTGTATTTGCCTGAGGTTTTTGGGTAATTCTAATTCTACTGTTACTGGATTTATGATCCTTTTAATTGGAAAAGGTCCTATATATTTTGGTCCAAGTTTTTTACAGGGCTGTAGGGACTTTAGGTATTTTGTAGATAAGTACACCATTTCTCCTATAATGAATGGTGTAGGCTCAACCCTTTTTTTATCGGCTTGTGCTTTGTATGCCCGCCTAGCTTCATCTAGTGATTTTCTGACTATTGGCCAGGTGTTTTGTAGGTTTTCCATCCATTCTTTCAGTGAAGGGATCGTTGGTTCTTTTGGGGTTAACTCTGGCATAGGGTTGAAACTTTGGCCGTTGGCTATTTGAAAAGGAGTGTAGCCTGTGCTGGAGTGGACTGCATTATTGTAGGCAACTTCTGCAAAAGGAAGTAAGTCCGTCCAATCACTCTGTTGGAAATTTAAAAAACATCTCAAATATTGCTCAAGTACCGACTGGCACCGTTCCGCTTGTCCATCTCCTTGAGGGTGGTGGCTAGATGTCAATCCCTGAGTGGTCCCTAAGAGGGATAAAAATTCCTTCCAAAATGCAGACGTAAATTGCACTCCCCTATCAGAGATGATGCGTTGGGGTGCCCCGTGCAATCTGTAAATGTGCTGGATGAAAAGTTTTGCTAAGGCCTTTGCAGTGGGAATTTTTTGGCAAGGGATAAAGTGCACCTGTTTGGAAAATAGGTCCGTGACTGTCCAGATAACAGTATTCCCATTGCTTTCAGGCAATTCCACTATAAAATCCATGGCTATTTCCCTCCAGGGGGCTGAGGGACTTGCCACTGGTTGTAACAGCCCTGGCGATTTCCCTTGCAACCTCTTTGCTGATGCACAGGTTGGGCAGCTGGCAACATAACTTTCTATGTCCTTTTTTATTGATGGCCACCAAAATTGCCGTTTAATTAAGTGTAAAGTTTTTACAAATCCAAAATGCCCTGCTGATTTTGTGTCATGGCAAAGTTGCATGAAAGTTAGTCTTTGAGTTGTTGGTATATATAACTTTTCCCCTACCCAAGGCAATCCGTCTCTCATTGTGCACACATGTTTGTTTTTCTGGAACCAATCATCTGTTTCCAAACTTTTTCTGAATTCAATCCCAGTTTGGCTGTCCAGTTGTGGTTTTATTTTGGCTTGGGTTCTTGTGGTTACTGGCGCTGCCAGTTGTGATTCTGCCATTATTGGTCTAGAGTCTGTGGTTCGTGCGCTGTTATATTGGGGCATGCGAGATAGTGCATCTGCCAGGAAGTTCTTTCTTCCTGGTAAATGTTTGAGCTTAAATTGGAATTGGTGAAAATGCTGGGACCAGCGGGCTTGTTTGGGATTGAGTTTCCTGGAAGTTTTCAGGGCTTCTAAATTTTTGTGATCAGTCCATACCTGGAAGGGGATTTTGTTGCCTTCCAGGAACTGTCGCCACGTGAGTAATGCCCAACGTATCCCATAAGCCTCCTTCTCCCATACGGGCCAGCGCTGTTCTGTTTCCGTGAGTTTCTTGGATGTATATGCACAGGGTTGCAATACTGCATCATCATTTTCTTGTAATAGCACAGCCCCCACTGCCACATCACTTGCATCTGCCTGTATTATGAAGGGCTTGTCCATATCTGGGTGCCTTAGTACTGGTTCGGCAGAAAAAAGTCTCTTTAGTCTCTCAAACGCTGCTTGGCACTCCATTGTCCATGTTAGTGGCTGGCTAGGTTTTACTGAGGATGTTCCCTTCGTTTTTAGTAAGTTGGTGAGGGGCAAGGCTATCTGTGCAAATGAGGGGATGAATTGGCGGTAAAAATTTGCAAAGCCCAGGAAACTTTGTAGTTGCTTTCTTGTGCGGGGTGGTGCCCATTCTAATACTGCTCTGACCTTCTCTGGGTCCATTTCAATGCCCTGTGGGGATATGCGATAGCCTAGGTAGTCTATCCTTTCCTGGTGGAATTCGCATTTTGAGAGTTTGGCATATAGGTGAGCGGCTCGCAGCTTCTTTAAAACCGCTCTGACAAGTTTGACGTGTTCTTCTTTTGTTTCGGTAAAGATAAGAATGTCGTCCAAGTAAACAAGGACCCCCTTAAACAGGTGCTCCCTTAGAACGTCATTGATTAATTGCATAAAGACTGCAGGGCCCCCTTGTAATCCAAATGGCAAGACTTTGAATTGATAGCACCCCATGGGGCAGTTAAATGCAGTCTTCCATTCGTCCCCTTCCTTGATTCTCACGCGATAGTAAGCTTCCCTTAAGTCTAGTTTAGAAAAAATTTTCCCTTTCGATAGGTGTGACAGCATGTCTTTCATGAGGGGCAGCGGGTATAGGTTGCTTTCACTGATTGTGTTCAGGGCCCTATAATCCACGCATAAACGTAAAGAGCCATCCTTCTTCTCTCTAAAAAGGACCGGGGCAGCCACTTTAGGCTTAGCTGGTTCAATGAAACCTCTCTCCAGGTTTTTTTTTATAAATCTTTCCATTTCCTCCTTCTCCTTTGGGCTCATGGAGTATAATCTGGGCTTTCGGGAGTTTTGCCCCAGGCTTGAATTCAATGGTACAGTCTGTGGGTCGGTGGGGGGGAAGCTCATTCGCCCTCTCCTCACTGAAGACTTCAGCAAGGTCCCTATATTCCTCTGGTATTTCTGTTAATCTTTTTTCCTCTCCTATGGATGCTTTTTCTATTCTTGATTCTGGTAGCCTCTCTTGGGGTTTTAAGTCCATAGGGTCCCCCTTCGGGAATTTGATTTCTGTCGTCCTCCAATTTACCCAGGGGTTCCATTTTTTCAACCATTCCATCCCTAGAATCATTGGGCATTCCATACCTGGGGTCACCACAAACGTTAAGTCCTCTTCATGGTTGCCCAGGGAGAGGTGTATTGGCAGAGTGGCTAGGGTAGCTGGCACCCCCCCTGCTATGGATCCATCTAGCTGGCCAAATGAGATTGGTTGTTCCAGTCTCCTGGATGGGATGCCCAGATTCCCCACTAGTGTTGGGCTAATGAGGCAGCGGGTGCAGCCAGAGTCTATTAAGGCTTTCACCTTCACAGCTTCGGGCATGGGGGGGATTAATATAGTCACTGTTTTGAAGATGGGTGTGATGCGTCCACTTACCAGGGGTTCGCCTTCCGAGCTGTCATCTGAGGCATCCACCGTCCCTGTGGTGTAGGCTGGAGTTCTTTCCCCTTGGTGAGCAGAGGTGGGGTTTTCTGCAATTTCCATCATTTTCATGGCTGTTTCTTTTGGCTTAGCTGAATACCCTCTGGGTTTGTTGATTGGGGATCTGTCTGGGTTGTGCTGGGGGGCCTTTGAGCGGCATTCTACAGCTCGATGCCCTTCTCTTCCGCACTTGAAACACCCCATCTGCTTCTTGGCTGTATCCGATGATTTCACCGGTTGGTGTGTCAGCTCAGGCGGGGGGCGGCTCCATTGTGTTCCTCGGCGATGCCTCTTCAATATGTCGATCTCTGCTTCCTCTGCCAAGACGTACCATTCCTCAAGTCGATGTGGGTCTCCTCGGGGCAGGCAAGCATCATATAGATCATAGTTTAGTCCGTCTTTGAAACGGCCAAGGAGGATGTCTTCTGGCCAATTCAGTTTGCTGGCAATGGCTCGGAATTCTTGTGTATACTCAGCCACTGGGCGTTTGCCCTGCCTCATCGTTGTTATTCTTTCACGGGCTTTGCGATCAGCCAGGGGGTCTTCAAATCGTCTTCTCAACGAGGACATGAAACGGTTGAAGTTACTGAGTTCTGGGGCATTGGAGTCATGCAGGTTCACCACCCAATCTGCAGCTGGTCCATCCAGGGCAGATTGCACGATCCGGATGCGGGCTTTGTCGCTGGGGATGTCCTGCCCATATTCCTCCATGTAGCTGAGGACTTGGGTTAGGAAAAACCCCAAGCGTGTTGGCTCCCCTTTGAATTTCACCTCCAACGGTGGACGTCTTGGAATGGATCGGTGCCTC